GGAGAGAGAGAGAGAGAGAGAGAGAGAGAGAGAGGGGGGGGGAGACATGCGTAAGTTGCGCACGTTAAATATCCCTTGGTGGTCAAAAATCGATAGAGTAGGCTTCGACCGCCGCTCGGGGAAAATTTTTAATGGTTTCTATCAAACTGAAAATGCATAATGTGTCCCGTGCCCCCATATGGTTGTATGCAGTTGTGGGCGCCGTAAAATATTTACAATAATTAAAACAAGATTTTAAAGCACAAAACCAACAAGACTGAGACATATGTACATATGTTTTAAACTTGTATAATCACCAAAATGCCAGTGTGGAGAGGCGGACCAAACTGTAGAGCACATCCTTTAGCACTGCAAGACACACAGGGCCCTGAGACAGGAAACGGGGCCAACCCCACTGACGCTACAAGAGAAGCTATACGGGCCGACAGATGGACTGAGCAGGACGGCCCAAAATATGACAGATACCGGACTTCAAGTGTGATGCGATCGAGAAGAAGAAGAAAATAAAATTCCCGGCTTCACTTACCATAGACTCGGCCAACTCGGCTGCTTGCTGCTCGTCTGCCATCAACGCGCCATTTCCGGTCTTCACGTCCAGCACCAGAGACTTGATGGACTCCGCCAACTTTTTGGACATGATAGAACCTGTCGGGGTACGCAACACACGAACATGTTGGGAGAGGAAGTAAAAGTAAAGTTGAGACCCCCACACCTTTGCACATCACGACAATCACAATGCGCTGTTTCCAGTTGTAGGATAAGGTAAGCGATAACTGCAATATCACTAAGACACCCCCCCCCCTTCCGCCCCTTGCCTCGGTACTATCGGAAATGGAAGTTACATTCGGAGGTACCGCCTCTTAAATAACCTCAAAGTGTTAAAAGGGGTGTTAAACCTTTTCAATTTAGCACTTTACTTTTCTTTAGTAAAAGAGTTTTATGGCACTTGCAACACAATAAGGTCATATAATAAGTGCCAAAGATTATAAGTCTTACAAGAGAGAGTAACAACCCCCC